TCAAATGAATGTTCCAGCAAGAACTCTTAGCAAATATCTCCATCTCCTCCCCCTCCCCCTCTTCCTCCTCTTCTTTTGTCTTTTTTGTCTTTTTTGAGGCAGGGCCTCCCTGTAGCTCCAACTGGCCTGAACTTGCTATGTAGACCATGCTGGCCTTGAACGTACAAAGATCCACCTGGCTAGCAACTAGTTGGATCTTAATTTTCTTTTCTGTAAAATAGATGCAGTACCAAATTGGACTCTGAAAGAGCTTCTAATCTGAACTTCTGATAGATAATTAAAATGTTAAGCTCTCCATTTTACTCTATGTGGTGTGTGTTCATATTACATATAGAACCTTGTATGTGCATTCCTATACTTGATAAATAGTTGTCATTTTAATATCTAATAGGTTTCCTTTAATGACAATTTTCTTACTTTTCCTAGGAGATCAATTTGATAATACTTAAGTTATTCTTTCATTTCTTATAATTACCTATATCTGAAATTGAAAATAATCCAAAATTTGTAATTAGTAACCAACATGATGCTACAAATGGAAAATTCTATATTCGACTTCATGTGATGGGTTGCAGTAAAGAAAACATAGTCATAAAACAGTTTATTCAGCACCCACAAAAGGATAAAGAACTTAGCCCCCTTCAGCTGAGAGCTGACTTCTCCACATGTCCTAATTTTCCTGCACAGTGATCTCCACAAAGAATAGAGCATGGCGTTTGTGCAGCCCAGATGCACCAATGGCAGTTTACTTGTGATGCCCCACAAGGCTAGGACTATATGTAAGTTTTGCTGTGTTTTATTTGTTTGTTGCTCTGGGACTTAAAGGTATTGTTGAATCAACAGGGCCACAGATGCTAATCCCTTAGTAGCAGAGATTTGAGAAAGAAGGCTATTCTGTTTGTCTGTAGTGAAGATCAAGGTGCTGAGAAACTGGACTATAGCATTAAACCCTTTGGGAAGGTATTGTGTTAGAATGACCACCACATGACCTATGAAACAGAAAGATAAACTGTCAAAGTTCTGATAAATGATGAACAGAACTGAATGAAAAATAGAAAACCGCTGTGTAATGCTAAAAATGAAGACCTGCCATTTAGTGATGTGCTGGTCATGAACCAAGTAAAGGTCTGTCCTGATGAAGTGAAAACGGAAGGGAATGATGAGTATTTGTTGGCTGATGGCAGAAATTGAAGACATAGCATCAAATTTTTTAAAAGTTGTATTGATAAAATAAAATATCTTCTGCTGATGAGCATTGGAGAAGGTTCTTGGTGAACTTGTGAGGCACTGCTGATGAAGCTCTCACATGAGAATGAGTCTGTCCTGTTGATATCATCACTGTTTTCGCATCATTGCCCCAGAAAGAAATGCACTGGGGCTGATCAAAGGGCTCTTAGAATAGTTACAGATGTCAAGACAGTAGCTCTGCCGGCATGTGGGAAAGCAACACACATGGGGTGTCAGCCAGCTGTGATGGGCCAGTGCTTGTGTCCTTACTCATGAAAGCTACTTTTTTTTTAACCGGTTTCATGCTAACAAAAAGACCAGGATTACAAAGACATCTTTCCTGTTGGGTTTTTAGAACATTTTTCTTATCGGTAGTTCATGCCCACTGTTGGAAACCTATGTGATAACTACAATATTTTGATTCTTTGACAGCTATTTTGTTTATCCTCCAGGTGAAATTTTCTACAAAAGCATTGTTTATGCCATGTACTTTACTCTTATTGTAACTTCATGAATTCATCTCTGGGTTAATGAGGAATAAAAAATTTCTTTGACCATGTTAGCAATAGTAAACAGAATCACAGATGTGGAAAGTTTTTGTAAGGGATTTCCTATTCTCTAAGTATGATTTTGTATGCCTGTAATTCCACTACTTGGGAGATAGAGGCAGGAAGATTAGAAGTTCAGGATTATCCTACTCTATGTTGAGTTTCAGGCCAGCCTGGGGTACATAAGATCCCATCTCCAAAAAGCAAATGAGCAGAGAGGGCTTTCCTATGACCACAGATTTCTGTGGTTACCAGTGCTTGGAACACAGCTATGTCTTCCTGATACAACCTTTGTCTTCTTACTATACTTAGTGATCTTGAGGACTCTGTAACAAATGAAGAAAAAAGGTGTATGTACACCTCCTTACAGTACATACAATCAATCAATCAATAAATAAATAAATAAATAAATAACAGTATCAGGCTCTGATTAGCTGGAGGAAATGGATAGGAACATTTTTAACATCAGTACTGAAACTCCAGTTATTCGTTCAATGGTGGTGGGCGAAGGTGATCCTGACACAGAGATAAAGAGTATGATGTTGATAGCACTGCACAGAATGTTGCTGTAGACATTGTGGAATTATCTAGGGGGTTAGAGCAGTATACATTTGTAAGAAAATAAGTGTCTGTTTATAAAATCAGATTTCTAAGATAAAACTGCTTGTGGAGGAAATTTTATGCGTATGAACATCTTTATATGTATGTGGGGTATTCATGCATGTGTGTATACACGTGACATGTAGGGTAGAGGACAACCTCAAATTCATTCTTCATGTGCTCATGTACTGTCTTTTTGTCTTTTTTTTTTTTTTTTTTTTTTTAATGGTTTCTAACGTTTTTTTTTTTTTTTTTTTTTTTTTTTTTTTTTTTTTTTAATGGTGTCTCAACTGGTATGGAACTCAAGTAGGTTAGGCTCTCTGCCCATTTTTTTTGACATGGGTGATAAGATTGAACTCAGATCCTCTTGCCAGCAAGTTGAACACTACCAATTGTACTATCTTTACAGCCCTCAGGAAGATGTTTTGGGTTTTTTTTGTTTGTTTGTTTGGTTGGTTGGTTGGTTTGTTTGTTTGTTTGTTTGTTTGAGACAGAGTCTTCCTATAGCCCCAGCTGTCCTGGAACTCACTATGTAGACCAGGCTGGCATTGAATTCACAGAGATCCGCCCGCCTCTGCCTCCCCAGTCCTGGAATTAAGGACGTGCGCCACCATGCCTAGCTGGAAGGTGTTTTTTCAAAAGATGTTTGTCATCTGATACAATTTGTTTGTCATTATGATATACCTGTTATAACAACAGGAGGAATTACTTCATCTCATGATTTCAGAGGTTCCTGCCATCTATCATGGCCAGACCCCACTGTTTCTGGCCTGTGGTAAGGCAGAATATCATGAGGTGGGAGCATGTGGTAGAGGCTGCTCACCTTATGCTAGACAGGAAGCAGACAAAGTGATTACAGGAAGGTGCCAGAGCAAGATTTAGTTCTTAACATCCTCCCAGTGAACCAGTTCCTTGAAGTAGGCTCTGCCTTTTGCTTTTCACTACCCCAACAATGCCATCGTAATATTCTATGATGAAATTAACCCATTAATTAGGTCACAGTCCTCATGATCCAATCCCTTTCCAAAAACCTATCAACTGTCTGTCAAGCCCCAATACATGAGTCTGTAGGGGATATTTCATATTCAAACTATAAAAACAGGCATCCATCAAAATAGATCCTTATCACTTGACTCATTTCTTGGTCCTGAGATTGCTTGAGATTTTTCTTCTCACCTTAAACAAAACAAGCAGAACATCCAGCTGTATTTGATAGTGCCTACCTGTGATACTAGCATTTGGGAGACTGAGACAGAAGAATTGCATGATTAAGGCCAACCTGAGCCTAAGCTATATGAGACCCTCTCTTCAAAGAAATATCCAAACAGAAACAAACTGTAAATAGCCTTTTAATCATAGAACAGCAATAAAGGTAGAGATTGAAAAGCTGCTATTTGTTACTGGTAGGCAGGTGATAGCAGGATTTTGGTGCTCCTGGTGTGCTCCCCAGTTACCCTAAGCATATTTTATCACTGTATTAATGACATAACCATATACTTCTAACTACTTTTATGTGAACATGTATAAAAAAATGATGCTTATTGGTAGCATATAAACTCAAGACAAGACATACACATACACACACACACACACTCACACACACACACACTCACATTCACACTTACTCACTCAAATTGAATTATTTTGTTAAAAGAGCCATAGTCAAGTTTTTTGGTTTGGGTTTTTTTTGTTTTGGTTTTTTTTTTTTTTTTTTTTTCGGTCTTTTTGAGACAGGGTCTCCCTGTAGCCCCAGCTGTTCTGGGAGTCACTGTGTAGACCAGGCTGGTCTTGAACTCACAGAGATCTGCCTGCCTCTGCCTCCCAAGTGCTGGGATTAAAGGCATGCGCCACTATGCCCGGCCATAGTCAAGTTTTACACTGACTTTAATCTCCTTAGAGATTATGTAATACTTTCCTTTCTTTTTTTTTTTTTTTCTTTTTTGAGACAGGGTCTCCTTGTAGCCCCAGCTGACAGAGCTCTGCTTGCCTTTTCCTCCCAAGTGCTGGGATTAAAGTCGTGTGCCACTACCCACTACACCCTGTTTTGTTTTGTTTTTTTGAACAAGTTCTCCCTGTAGCTCCAGCTAGCCTAGAACTCACTGTATAGACCAGGCAGGCTGGCCTTGAACTTGGAGATCTACCTGCCTCTGCCTCCCAAGTGCTGGGATTAATGTACTTATTTTTGTTTTTATCCAAAGTGTTCTGCATTGCTGTTTTATCCAGTGGGGAAAATAATCTAAAATTTATGATTGATAAACAGTTTTAACATGTATTCTTTCTCCAGCTAGCCTAGAACTCACTGTATAGACCAGGCAGGCTGGCCTTGAACTTGGAGATCTACCTGCCTCTGCCTCCCAAGTGCTGGGATTAATGTACTTATTTTTGTTTTTATCCAAAGTGTTCTGCATTGCTGTTTTATCCAGTGGGGAAAATAATCTAAAATTTATGATTGATAAACAGTTTTAACATGTATTCTTTCTTAAATATTGTGTTTAGAATTCAGGTTTTGTTAGGGCTGTACCAGCATTTTGGATGTCTTTCCTAATCCCCCTGCACTCCCATTTTACAGAGTACTTTAGAGTAAGAGAAAGATTTTTATGCTGTCTTGTTTTTTCCCTTGTTTAGAAATCGAAATGAGTTGGCTGAGACTCTTGCACTCCTGAAAGCACAAATTGATCCTGTGCTATTGAAAACCTCTAGCCGACAGGACAACTCTTCCCGGGGAAGTCCCACCTTAGAGGATGAGGAGACTCAGAAAGAGGAAGAAACACCTAAACAAGGTTTTTTTTTTGTGTGTTTTCTTTTGCTTTGTTTTGTAATCTCTTCTATCTTCTTCAACTCCTCCACCCAACTATATAACCCCTAATTCTGACCTCAATTTAAAAATTGAGACCCTTCCTATAAGACTTTTTTTTATTCAAAGCAAAAAAGAAGCAAATAAAGTTTACCTTTTTAAAATCATTTTAAAAATGTAAATCAATTATGTTCAAATCATTTAAATATTCATTATTGGAGACTGTAGAGATGGCTCAGCCATTAAGAGCACTGGCTATTCTTGTAGAAGACCTGGGTTTGACTCCCAGCACCCCCATGGCAGCTAACAACAGTCTGTAACTCCAGTTCCAGGGGATCCAACGCCCTCTTCTGTCCTCCAAGGGCACAATATGGCACGAGTACACTTACACACATGCAAGCATAACACTCGTACACATAAAATAAAAATAAAATGTTTAAGAAGTATTCATTATCTTTTACTAATTTGTGGATACTGTCAGACATGGTGCCACATGCCTATAATCTCAGTACCTGGGAGGCTGAGGCAAGATATTGCTATGAGTTCCGGGCCAGTCTGAACCAAACCAAACCAACAACCGAAAGAATGCTAAGACATTTATATTTGTATAATATAGATTTGACAGTTTTCAACATTTCCAGGTTTATGGTTCTGTGGCATTAAATATATTTACCCTGGTAAGAGCCATGTTATCTCAAGAAACTAACACTAAAACTTTGAACCTGTTAACACTGACTTCCCATTTTCTCCTGCTGCAGCCCCTGGCATCTGCTTTCTGTCTTTATGAATTTGATTACTGGAACCGCACATCAGAAGACTCAAAAAAATATGTCCTTTTATGACTGGCTTATTTCACTTAGCATGCTGTCTTCAGATTCATCCATATGGTACATGTGTCAGAATTTCCTTCCTCTTTAAGGATGATTCATATTCCATTATGTATGTACCATATTTTATTTATCAGTTTATATATCAGTAGACACTTGTGCCATTTCCTCCTCATGGCCTTTTCGAACAATCCTGCCATGAACATGGTTATACAAATACCTCTTTGACTTCATACATGAGGTGCATACCTGAGGTAAAATTGCTAGATCTTACGGTAATAGTGTTTAATTTTTGAGAGCCTGCAAAGCTATTTTCTGGATTAGGTGCTTCATTTTACATTCCTACCTGCCATTTACAAGTACTCCAATTTGTTCCATATTTTCCAGAACTTGTTTTCTGGTTTTCTTGTTATAGTAGTCATCCTAATGAGTATGAAGTGCTCTCATTATTATCATAAGTCCCTAATGACCGGTAGTGTTCGGCATCATTTCAGATACCTTAACCGGCTATTTGTATATCTTCGAGAACATGTTTATTCAAGTTATTTGTCTTTGTGTATGTTATTGTGTTGTGTGACTACGTTGTCATACTGGTCCGGAGCTCGTGGGTCAAGTGATCCCCTTGCCTCAGCCTGAGTAGCTGGGATTGGTAGTAGGTACAGGTTACCATGCCTGGTTCTGTCCGTTTTAAAACTGGAATGGGTTCTGTTTTGTTTCACTAACTCTTAAATCTGTGACAATTATAGTTAAACCTGCTTTCTCATTGAGTTTTCTAATTTGCCTACTTAGGCAGATGAAATCTTTACCCTTCTTGAAGGACAGAACCAAGTCCTAACTTCCTTAGAAAAGAAACCAACTGAAAATTTTGTTAAACTCTTGTGTGCGTGCATGTGTGTGTGTGTGTGTGTGTGTGTGTGTATGTGTGTGTGTTCGAGCACACATGTGCGTGCACACGTACACTATGCTCATGTGTGCTGGTATGCATTTGTGCATGTGTATATGGAGAACTGAACTCATCCTCGGGTTTGTTCCTCGGAGTCATTCACTTTTCTTGAGACAAGGTCCCACACTGGAACCTGGGGCTCTCTGATAAGGCTAGACTGGCTTTGGAATGAGCCCCAGGGAGTCTCCTGTCTCTTCCTCCCTAGCCCTGGGATTACAGACGTGAACCACCACATCTGACTTGTTTTGTTTTTAAAATATTTATTCATTTATTCATTCATTCATTTATTTATTTATTTAATATGTATTAGTGTTTTGCCAGCATGTAAGTTCACTAAGTGCTCGCAATGCCCAGGAAGGCCAGAAGAGGGCATTGGATCCCCTGGAACTGGAGTTACAGTTGTTAACCAACAAGTGGGTACTGGGAACTGTACCTGGGTCCTCTGCAAGTGCATTCACCAGTGCTCAAAGGTGTCTTCTGACTTCCACACACCCACTGTAAAGACAGGTTTCTCCTTGCTTCTAAACAAGCATGCCAAACTTTCATACAGCTGCTCCCCAAAATGATTCTCAGCAATTGCTGATGATATGCTTCCCAGTGACAGAAGGAAATGGCCTGTAATGGAGGACTCTTTGAAAAGGTGGAGGAGGGAGAGCAGGACGTTTAGCACTGTTCTCTACTCTTGCTGGGGCCTAGTGTGAAGCTTAATGACAGAGTATCTCCTTAGCTCATGTGAAACCCTAGGTTCACTCCCAGGCACTGCAAAAGCGAAAATAAAATGAATTGTGCTTCCTGCTTCTCTTATTCTGGCAACCAAACATTTCTTTTTCAAGGTTTGTTTTCATTATTTTTTTGAAATGGGGTCTCTCACTCTGTTTTTCAGGGTAGTCTCAAACTCTTGGACTATGAGCCAGTATTCTGATGTCCTTTATATTAAATTGCAAAATCTTAACCATAAACTATATTAGATGGACATTACAGTAGGCTTCCAAGAACCAATAGACATCAGAAACTGGATAATAATAAAACTTACATGTATTGTGGTTTTTCTGGGTAAGTTTTAATTTATAAATTATGCACAGTAAAGAGATAAGCAACAATAATAAAACAGAGCAATTAGACCACTGTGTTGAGTAAAATTTATATGAATATAGTCTATCAGCTCCTCACTCTCAACACTGACTCCTGTCCCCACCTTTCTTCCTGTGGGACTGAACTTGACTGTGGTTAATCGAAGCCATAGAAATTGAAATGTTGGATAACGGGAGCCTGTTATACATTATTATGTCATATTTTTTTAGAGAAGTAAGATGAAGACTAGTGTCAGTAGCTTTCCTTAGGTCACAGTCTCTTATTGGCAAAGCATTCTAGCTGAAGCTGTCTCTAGAGTCTTTGTGCTTCGTGTGTGTGCACCAGGTGCATGTGCACGTTGTGAGGCCAGAGGTTAATGTTGGATATCATATCTCAATCACTTCTCTGATTGTTTTTTGAGACACAATCTCTTATTGAAGCTAGAGCTCACAGATTTGGCTAACCTGGCTGACCAGCAAGCCCCAGTGAGCCTTCTGTCTCTGCCTCCCCAGCTCTGGAATTATGGACAGGTGTGGTAATGCCTAGATTTTACATGGATGCTGGAGATCAAACTCAGGCTCTCCTAGTGGAGCACTGCACTGAGCCATCTCCCCAGTGCCTCTATGCACTCCTGAGACTGTACTTACATGGGACTTAAGGAGTAGCTAAGCCTCTAAAACCACAAAATCATACCTCTCTCTCTTTTTTATTTTTTGGTCTTTTTGAGACTGGGTCTCCCTGTAGTCCCAGCTGTCCTGGTAGTCACTAAATAGATCAGGCTGGCCTCAAACTCAGAGAGATCCGCTAAAGGCTTGCATCACCACGTCTGGCTTAAAACCATATCTCCTGTACACATACCCTCTGGGTCGTAGTTACCATGATCTTGACCGTGGTGAGACAAGAGAAATGTGATCCTAGTTGATCACTTTTCTTGTTCCAGATAGAAGCAAACTGTGCTTGTGGATGGAATTGGTTGAAATTACGGTCTTTAAATTTTTTTTAAATTTATTATTATTTTTTTTATTTATTCATTCTAGTCTTTTTGAAACAGGGTCTCCCTGTAGCCCCAGCTGGCCTGGAACTTGCTATGTAGACCAGGCTGGCCTGGAACTCACAGAGATCTGCCTGCCTCTGCCTCCTGAGTGCTGAGATTGAAGGCATGTGTCACCACATCCAGCTTTTATTTTTATTTTATGTGTATGAGTGTATTCATGTATGTAAGTGCATTCATGTTATGCAGCGCCCACTGAAGAGAGTGTCAGATCCCCTAGAACTGAAATTCAGAGTGGTTGGTAGCCACCATGTGGGTGCTGGAAACTGAACCGTGGTTCTCTGCAAAAGTAGCCAGTACTCTTGCCCACTGAGCCACCTCTCTTGCCCCGCAGTCTTTTTTATTATTATTATTATTTTTTTATGTTTATGAGTGCATTGTCTGCATGTATTTGCATGCACCTGTGTTGTGCAGTGCTGCAAGGATCAGAAGAGGGCATCAGATTCCCCTGGAACTGGAGTTAAGGACTTTTAGCCACCATATGGGTGCTGGGACTCAAACCCAGGTCCTCTGTAAGAGCAGTTAGTGCTCTTAACCGCTAAGCTATCTCTCCAGCCCCCAGCCCCATAGTCTTATGCAATGTTTAATGTAGTTGAGTGGTAAGGCAAAATGTAACAAAGTTTAAAAAGCATAGTTAGATATTTGGAAATTAGGCAGAAAGAAGTAAAGATATGTAGGCACTGGAGAGAGACTATTTCAGCCAGTCCTGGCACTAAAACACATCCTTTATCAGTTAAATGGTCATTCTTTATGCTCAACCTCAGCGAGATGACTTTTTTATTTCTGTTTTATGGGTGCTAAGGAGAAACACATTATTGCAAATTTGTGCATAAATCCAAAAATGACAGAAAATTTGCCCACTAAATACTTAATTTTGTTTAAAACTTATTAGAATCACATTTGGAAAATCCTAAATTTTCCTAGAGTTGCATTCATAAGGTCTTAGCCTGGCTCTCCAGTATTGTCTCCTACTGTGTTCTTTCATGGTTTTAGATCAAGTCTTTTATTTTCTGCTTGCTGGGTCTTTCTTTCTTCGGTTTTTTATGTTCTTCTGTCCTTCAGATGCCGTTACCTCTCCTGTTGTGGACAGCCTG